AGTACAAAAAAAAAGGTTGGGATGAGTTATCTGTGATGTAAGGGAAATAGTTGTCAGGACTTAGGTGGTGGGGCAGTTCTAAAAAGACGTTGAACGGTTTCTCCTATCAAAGTACAGATGATGGTAAGCAGTTGGAAAATGGCTCCTTGTAGTTGAAAAAGTCTATCAGTTTCTTGTGCGTATATTCCTAGGTAGATAAGTGTGATTAGTGGGACGGTGGAGAAGGGCATTGTTAGCGTGTAAATTAGGAGAATTAGGTGGAAAATCAAAAATGTTTTCATATTGTATCCTATATGTTTTATGAGAAAGATTAGTGGTGGGTTAAGCAATTTATGTTGGAGGGTTGATGCCGTGACTTGGGACCGGGTTGGTTCATGATTGATTTGTAGATGGGGAACTGGGGAAAAATGGTTACCTGAAGTCGGTTCTACTTGGATCAGGGTACAAAGATTTGGGGTTAGAGGTAGAAGAGGTTGGCTGCTGGATGGTTTGATCGGGGATTGGTATTCTTGGAACAAATCCGGTGAGAGATGTCGGAACGGAAATAAGTCATTGTCTTTGGATTGAACAATATGTGCCTGCATGGTGGGGGGTGCTATATGAGGTACGCTTTCTGTGTAGGGTCTGAGTTTGTTGACATGTATTGTGTCGTGTGTGATGTGTGGATGTGTAGGTGTATTGTTTTGGTGTATCTTGATGGTGTCGGCGTCTAGGAATCCGCAGAAGGGATTGCGTGAGAGAAGGTCAGCTTCGTACTGCCGGGAACCTTAAATGTAGCGAATTTCGTAGTCATATGCAGATAGTTTTAAGCTCCATCTGAATAGAGGTCCTGCGGGATTTTTGAAAGATTTTAGCCATTGTAGAGCGTGGTGATCAGAGAAAATGGTGAATGTTGTGCCTGTAAGGTAAATGCGGAATTTTTCTACGCTTTCAATTATGGCTAGGCATTCTAACTCAGATATGTTGTAATTTTGTTCGTGCTGGCGTAAGTCTCGGCTATAATATTGTACGGGATGTATTTGGTTGTTGGGGTGGATCTGTTTTAAAATGCCTGCGATACCTTGTGTTGAAGCGTCGCAGTATAGTTGGCAGGGTAGACCTTCTTGGAACAAATGTAAGACGGGTTGTGTAGTGAGACTTTTTTTTAAGGTTTCGAAAGCTTGTTGACAAGCATCGCTCCAGTGCCAATTTACGTTCTTTTTAAGTAAGTTGTTAAGGGGTGTTCGGAGACGAGCATAATTTGTAATAAATTTATTATATACGTTAACTGCACCTAGGAAATATTGTAGCTATTTTTAATTATAAGGGGTTTTTATGGCATTAATTGTATCGAGGTTTCTAAGCTGAGGTGTATATGTGCATGCGGATATGGTGTATCCGAGAAACTCTATGGATGTTTTGAAAAATTCACACTTATTATAGTTAAGTCTGATGTTTTCTGCTTGGCAAACTTCGAAATATTTTGTAAGGTGTTGTATGTGTTCTTCTGTGGATTCTGAGAATATAATAAAGTCGTCAAAATAATGTTCTATGCATTGTAAGTTGTGTTTTTGTATGATCTGACTGATTGAGCGTTCGTAAATTTGCATTAATTCTTCAGGCCAAAGGGAAGGCGGGTCCATTGATATTGTCCATCAGGTGTAACAAAAGCAAGAAGTGGTCTAGATTCTGGTGCGATTTCTACTTGCCAGTATGCAGAGGCGATGTCGACGGAGTAAAAGATTTTGGCGCGCGAGAGTTTATCCAGCACGGAATCAATCAAAGGGAGGGGGTGAATATCTGGCTGAATTATGTCGTTTAGTTTTCTATAATCTATGCAGAAGCGTTTTGTTTTATCGCGCTTTGTGACTAACGTTACAGGACTTGCGAACGGAGAGTAGGACTTTTCTATGATATTGTGTTTTAACATTTCGGCGACTTGACTTTGAATTTCCTTTAGGTCGCAATAAGGAACTCTGTATGGCCTGAGTGTGATTATTTTGTCAGAAGTAGTGTTAATTTTGACGGGGGGAATGTTTAAAGTGGGGACATCAAATTTGTTTTCAGAAAATATGTGTTGATAGTTATGTCATAGGAGATTAAATTGGGTCGGACAATTAAGGTGAGACAATTCAGTTCGTGCATCAGTTAGCTGGCAATTAGGGTTAACAAGGGTTATGGGAGATAAAAAAATAACATGGGCATTTTTATGAAAAGGCATAATTATTTGTGGTTAGTGTATGTGCTGATTGGTTGCAACGTGAGGGCAGAGAGGTATGGGATGCCTTGAAGTGTCGCTGGCATTCCCAATAAGCACATGCACTTGGAACAAGGGGAAAATTATACACATTTTTAGATAAGGGTGAGTTATTTTGACGTATAAAGAATTCGTGAAAGTTAATTTGCAGTTTAAATTTTTGAGCGTATCTATTGAAAGTATATCAAATGGAAGTTTAGCATCTATGACATAAATTCTGATTTTTTCTGTTATTTTGCCTAAGGTTAGCGGAAGATAAACATATCCTGCGGTGGTAATACTTTGTGAGATAGAACTAATTTGAATGTGCTCGTTAATTAATTCTATTTTTAGTGTTAAGATCTTTTTTAAGAACTTAAAGGTATTTAATGGTATAATATTTACGGTTGCACCAGTATCAGCTAGAAAAGGAAGGAAATGTTTTTGATTGAGGAGGACTTTTAAGATAAGGTTATTAACGAAAATTAGGGTAATCCTCTACCTGTTTGGGGCTAGTATTGTTTGTCGTCGGGGCGGCTGGCGCAGTAGATGGTGTCGTCTGGCGGCCATTGTTGGTTCGGTTGAAGGTGCCTTGGCGGTGGTGGCTGGCGTGGTAGGTTTGGCCGTGCTGGGCGTTAGAAGCTGGTCGTTGCTGGCACTGGGAGTGCCAGTGTTGTCCTTGGCAGAACTTGCAGGGAGAAGGTGGTATTGCTGCGTAGTTCTGTGCCCGTGGTGGTGGTCGTGGGGTATTGTGGTAGGGTCTTTCCATCCGTGGAGGGTTGTCTGGGCCACGTGGTGGTTGTGGGGAGAAGTTTCCTCGTACCCTGGAGGTTAGTTCATACGACTCGGAAAGTGATTTGGGTGGCACAACTCGAACAAGGCGCTGATATCCAGTGGGTAGTCCTTCGGTCAAGGCCTCTATGATGACAGGTCTTGGCAAGTTCAATTGTATCCCTAACGTTGCCTTGGTCCTAAAATACTCTTCAAGATAGTTGTAATGTTGGGCTTTTGCAGCGAAAAATTTCGCGTAGGTTGTGTCGGTCTTATCTGGGAATAAGTCCTCTAGGGTTCTCTGCGCTTCTTCATACGGCTTAGTATCAAGTCGGAGTTGTCTAAAAAGATCGAGTGGCTGCTTAAAAAGGTATTGAGGAAGTGTTTGCAGTTTTTGTTGAGGGGTCAAGTGCTGAGTTTGTAAGTTGAAGTTCCTAAAGAAACATGCAGCGTTGTACATACCGTCAAAGGCGGGTAGATTCAGGTCTCGGGGATGAAGGGGTTGCAGTCTTTCTAGGATGGTTTCCAACTGAAGGATGATGGTGCCAAGATGGGGTGGTGGTGTTGTCGGGCCGTGGTCGTTGTTGGGGAACTCTCCGATCTCCTGCACTCGGGCTTCTTTGTCGTCCTGGTTCATCCTGTCGACTCTTATGTGATGTGCCTGCTGTGTCGTAATCCTGTTGACTTTACATGTGGTGTGCCTGTCGACTTACTGTGATGATTGCTGTTGAATGCTGCTGTCGTGGTGTAAGATGGTGATTGCGCAGTCGTGATGTGGTTGTGCAGTCGTGATGTTGATTGTGCAGTCGTGCTGGTGATTGTGCAGTCGTGCTGGTGATTGTGCAGTCGTGGTGGTGATTGTGCAGTCGTGCTGGTGATTGTGCAGTCGTGGCGGTGATTGTGCAGTCGTGATGGTGATGAGTGGTAAGGTACACAGAGACGAATCAAAGGGTAAACCTAGGCATCGGGAAGAGAACCTAGCGACCTTGCGGCCAACGGCCACCTACTAACGAACTTTCTAACTGACGTCTGATGTTGCAATACTAAACCGTCTACTCTGACCTTGACTCTGATTGGCTGCGCGGCAAGCCCTTTGTTAGCTCAGGCGTAACGGCGCGCCTCGGTGTCTGGCGTTTGATCTCAGGTTTTGGTTTCTATAGTTTGACCTTGGTTGCTACGTTCTCTAGATGCCTTTGTATTTATTTAACAGACCAAATCGATACATACAAAGTTAATGGTTTAAATGAGGATTGGGTACAATGACAATTAGAGTAGGGGTTGTAAGAAGGGGTGGGGAGAATACTCTCCAATGCTCTCATTGGATGATTCTCGTTTCGTGGCGGTCTCTCATTGGATCTTAGCTAGTCCTGCTGGACTCTGATTGGATCTTAGCTAGTCCTTTGTCTTTGTCTTGTTTTAACATGCTCCCGGAAGAAGAAGGTTCTTGAAATCAGTTTTATTAGTTCCTGGGTAATAACTTTTGCTTCCTGGATAATGAAAACCTGCTAATGATTGTTTCTTCGCTGATGGCCTTTCTCTCCAGATACTCTAGGCCTAACCTTTATTAAAATCTTCAGATCATACATTGCATACATATTGTGGTGGGGCTACATCTAGTTATATACAAATTATGACATAAACATATATATATAAAATATATAAAAGGTATTCATTGTTGGCGCTCACCGTGGGAAAACTTCGCCACTGATAGACCGAAAGAGTTCTTTCCCACAGAGTGGGTAGGTTGATGAGGTAGCTGGCATTACCCAATTCAAAACCAAGATGGTACTTGTAGATGGTAGCCTTCGCAACACTTGTTGCACTGCCTCGGGATGGAGGCAGACGCCGAACAGTCAGGCTGACAGATCTTGGGGAACTTCTCAGGAGCCATCACCTCCAGGAGCAGGGGTCGCCTGGCTCGGCAACTCCAATATATGTGGGTCAACGACCCCGCCTGAGGTTAACAAATTATTAACAAATTTTCGCTATTTCACCTGCGGCAACTGCGAGAAGTAAAGTTGGGGAAGGATGGACCACGTGGGGCGACGGGGATTGGTGGAGCGGGACGTTTCACAAGAGTGACCTTGAGTGACCTAATGACCGCGTAGGGGCAAGTAATCACTTGCTATTTATATATATCAAATTTAAAATAAATTCATATGAAAAATCAAAATAATACAATTTTCAAATATCGTTGAGAAAATTTACAATTTTATTTTTATATTTTAAAAACGCACAAAGTTGGAGTGCGACTTTTCACAAGAGTGACATCTACGGCACCAATTTATAATTGTAAAGAATACTATTTGAATAAAAACATTTAATCGGGTAAAACCCGGCCGTGGCCTGGGTCATTCGGCTTGTATATAGATAAAAATGTGACTTCCTCCATATTTAGTTCAATCTAGGAAGATTATGTCTCTATATGTGGAAGTCGGTGCGAGAAAAACCCACGTTTTAATTCATATAGATCAACATATATGAAAAATAATAATAATAAAGCCAGGTGTTGATATTAAAAACAAAGAAGTCATGTCCTGACCAGGAGCACATGTACTTTTTAGATGGCAGAGCGCCATTTAGTGGAATAGAAATCAACTATACGTTGATTTAGCCTGTTCCCTGATATTTGGCCAATCCATTTTCTTGATGAATCAAGAAAAGCTATCCACGAACGCTTTTCGGGCTGTTGACCCTCGTAACCACTGCGTCCACTGTCATCTAAAAAGCACATGTGCTCCTAGTCAGGATATGCCTTCTTTGTCTAGGAGCACATGTTCTTTTTAGATGACAGTCGACGCAGTGGTACGATGACGAAGGCCAACAGCATAAACGCGTTCGTGGATGGCTTTTCTTAATCTATCAAGAAAATGGATTGGCCGAGTATCAGGGAACTGGCTAAATCAACGTTTAGTTGATTTCTGTTTCAATAGATGGCGCTCTGCCATCTAGTGACCCAAATAAGAATTATATAAAATATAAATGCTTATCTTATATAATGTTATTATCTCATTTTCACATTTGAAAAATCTATTTTCAAATGTGAAAATGAGATAATAACATTATATAAGATAAGCATTTATATTTTATAAAATTATTATTTTGGGTCAAATATTTGATCTTTCCAATATTTGGTGGGGTGATACGCCAAACTTCTTCAGGGAACAAGATTGTTTGGGAAGGCTCGATTTTTTCGCTTCACTGCCTACCGTTTAGAAATTCAAAATATATTATACCTTCAAAATAAATGTATTTGAAAAATAATAATTAATAAATATAAAAAATAATAATAATGTTAATACTAATAAAAATGTAATATAAATAAAACAAACTATTAAAACATTAATAAAAAGAATAAATAAATAAATTTTAAATCTCAGAATTTAACTAAATTATTTAAAGTAAAAAATCGTGAGACAAAAAGTTTTTGTAACAAGTAATTACAAGAAACTCAACTTCCCACGATTTTGTACGTTTAATAATTTACTTCTCAAGGTGATTATAAATATTAATTTGTATATTTATTTATTCTTCTTGTAAAAACTCTTATATTTCGTTATTTTCATTTATATTTGTGATTATTTCAAATATATTCATATGTAGAGAGAGTGTGAGACACATTAATATGTTTAAATACATGGATAAAAGTTGGCGTTCAGCAAACTGAAATATTGGTAAAATAAATGATATTTTGATCCAAACTATCCCTTTTTAATTAAATAAATATATACTAGTATATGTCATAATTTGTACAATTAGATGCCAACCTAATCCAATATATGTATGAAAATGTATGATTTGTTTCAATAAAACAAGGTAACATTGGAGGAAGAAAGGCCTAGAAAAGAGGCTTAGAAGTTAGCAAAATTATACCCAGTTTTATTATCGCGGAACTAATAAAAGTTGGGTTCAACAAACTATTATTTCCTGGTCAAGCTGGGACATGTCTTGAGACAAAAGAAGTAACGTAGACCAATTAGGAAGCAACTCCTCAGAGGTCAACCAATAGAGAACCGCCACGTCACACCTTTCCACCAATGGGAAGTAAGAAGGGTTCTCGTGTTAAATCGAGAACCAAGAATTGTCAGTTGTCGCTTCGCTCCCACCGAGATAGCACCTAGTAGTTAGCTAGCTCCCACCGAGGTAACACCTGCTCTAGAGACCTCCCCCGTTCATCTTTTTCAGCTAAGTCAATCACCGCCATGTGAATATATAGGCCAATAATCAAAAACCGCTCCGCCTTCTCAGCCTTTCTTTCCTCCGACCAGTTGCCTTTTATTTTTCAAACCCCATCACGTGTCCTGGTTATTCCCCACTGTATGCTTCACTTTCCACTCAAACGACTGCGCTTCCAACAATCTACACCATTCTCATCCAACAACAAGAAATTCCGCAACGATATTGCGACAAACGGATTTAGTCGACAGGATAAAGAGATGGAGATTAACCAAGATTCAATCGGCGTAAGGAAGGACGACCCAACGAAAGAAAGGGGGGAAGAAGGCAGCAGACAGGAAATGACCGGCAGAGAGGAGACGGAACCCCTAGCGGTTGCCATTCGTCAGATTGCGGCGGCGTTCGCCCAGGACAGATCCAGCACCCCGGGCGCGGATCTACCAATCTTCGATGGAACGTACAGTGCGACCCAGTTTTCCCAAGCATTCGACCGGAAAATGGAAGACGCCGCCATGGAAGAAAGAGAAAAATTACTCCGTCTACCAAACTACCTGGTGCGACAACCCCTGGAGCTTTTCAGGAAACTTCGGCTGGCCGACCGGAGCTATTTCCAGATGAGACAAATCCTCTTAGATCTCTACCCTGAGTCAAGCGAAGCGTCCTTTGCGAAATATTTCGCCATGAAGCTTAATGGACAAGCCAACCTAGAGACCTACTACCGGGAGAAAACCGCCATGGGGCTACAACTAGGACTCCCGCAGGAGGTGATCCTCGAGACGCTGACAGAAGGGTTGCCATTCTCCGACCAGCGCCTAGTCCGCGTAGTGCCTCCCGAGAACCTAGGAGAGTGGTTCCGACTGGTAAAGCGGATCCACGGGCCCAGTGTACCGACAACGCGACACAGAGAGGACCAACCACCCACGATGTCGGGTCCGTACCACAACACACTTCGACGCCCAGGTGCCTGGAATGCACCTCTTCCACCGTCCAACTGTAAGTTCTGCGGCGCGGGACACTGGCACAGCGAATGCCGGCATCGACCAGTCCCGGCGACCCATGAAAAAGAACGGACAGTGCAATCAGTCCCGAGCAACCGATATCAAAGTGCCAGGACAGTGCAATCAGTCCCAAAACAACCAGTCCCGAGTCCCCAGCAACCATCTCAAGCCAGAGACACCCCAGCCGAGCAGACTTTTCGAGACTGAGGTAGACTCCCTAACCCAACTGACTGTAAAACTTTTCCTAGCCCCTAATATACCATGCCCCTTTTTAATTGATACAGGCGCCAGCCTGAATATAGTGCCATACAATCTCTACAATATGTTAAAAACTCACCTGCCTAAATTAACCTTTAAGAGACACTCACTGGATCTCCAAACCCTGGATGGTTTTGCAAAAACAATGGGTAAACTGTCTTTCCCACTAACCATAGGCCAAATATCCCGAAGAGAGAATTTCCATGTAGTGAATGCACCGTTACCATTTGGAATTCTTAGCCTTAATAGCCTCCACAAATTCAAATTAGCAATAGTTTTTAATAAATGCACTATATTCCAGCTGGGCGCCCCATTGTCTACCTCATCCTACCATTTTAACAATGTACCAAATGTATGCACCTACTGGCAATGTCAGGCGATATCACAAAGATCTTACCCTACAGCCAAACTTTCCGCCTATGACAACCATTGCGTGCATTCATTGAAAAAAAAACCCTTATCTACATGCCATTTTTTCACTAAGGCCAATTGCCTTTTTTACATGCCCTCAAATAACAAAGCCACAACGGCTTCAACTTGTAAACACCATGCCCAAAACATGTCCATACAGCAGGACAACTTACATGTCGAGCACATAGGTGATCACACGTCGTCACACAACTATCACATGACCAACCCACACCACGAACTCGACACTCACACTAAGACCCAACAAAATCCTTTACCACATGCATACTACAACACAACACCTGACACTCGCTATACACCCCAATTCACAACACTGTTACAAAGATACAATCACATCTTCACACAGAACAAATTCAACGTACCATGCTTAAGGATTCCACCAGTAAAAATACCCACGAATTCCGACAAAATAATTACCATACGGCCATATCGTGTTCCGATATGTGACCAACAAGAAATCCGTAATCAAGTCCAACAAATGCTAGAGAATGGCATTATAGAGCAATCTTTTTCACCTTTCTCGAGCCCTGTCACCCTCGTCACTAAGCGCGACAAGACCAAACGGTTTTGTATCGATTATAGAAAGGTGAACGAGCTAATTAGCTCTGATGTCCATCCCCTCCCGAGAATCGAGGATATCCTCGACCGCCTCGCACAGGCCAAATATTTCTCCACGGCCGACATATCCTCTGCGTATTGGCAGGTCCCAATACACCCCGATTCTCGACCACTGTTAGCATTTGCCACCCTCGAAGGGTTATACCAACCCACTCGATTACCTTTCGGTTTAAAAACCAGCCCTCAGATCTACGAACGAGCCATGAGTCAGGTCCTACAGAGACACGGACTTGACTGTGTGGCACATTATTTTGATGATTTCATCATTTACTCCAACACATTGGAGGAACATCAAAACCACCTGCGACAATTTTTCGCCTTTTGCGAAGCAGAGGAGTTACAACTTAACTTCGCGAAATGCGAATTTTTTAAGCAGTCCATAGATTTCCTAGGCTACACCATCACAGCTGGTACAACCACACCGCTCACACGCAACACCGACATCATTCACGCCATTAAACAACCACACAACCGAAAAACACTACAATCCTTTTTAGGCGCTGTGAACGTCTATAACAAATTCATCCCGGACTACGCTCGCTTGCGAGCACCACTCAATAACCTCCTCAAAAAGGATGTCGTGTGGATCTGGGATGAAACTTGCCAAAAGGCGTTCATTGACCTAAAAGGGAACCTCACACAACACCCCATCTTACACCTTTACAAAGAAGGCCTGCCATGCCAAGTGTATTGCGATGCATCCACCCTCGGTATAGCGGGCATTCTCAAACAGGTTCACCCTGACGGGAACGTATATCCAGTTCAGTTTTTCAGCCGAACATTGCGCCCACACGAGAAAAACTACTCCATCTCTGAACTTGAGTGCTTAGCAATCGTTGAGAGTGTGGAGAAGTTTCGCATCTATCTGATGGGCAGAAAGTTTACTATATTTTCTCACTATCACGCATTGCAGTGGCTGAAGACCATCAAAAACCCGTCCGGCAGATTGTTTCGATGGAGTTTACGGCTATCAAGTTACGAGTACGAAGTCCGCTACATAAAGGGAAAACAACAGTATGAGGCGGATCTTTTGTCCCGTAACCCGTTCTGTGGATTTTTGGACGCGTCCCTTATCAAAACACACCAACCTCCTCCATCGAGAGAGTCTAGCCTGACCATTGATCGTAATGGATTACATACAGTTTCCCGAAAAGGTGTAACCAAGATTATAATTCCAAAACCACTCATACAACAACTCTTACAAACAGTACACACACAATACAATCACCCCGGTATTTCACAAATGTCACGACTCATCTCCACGCAATATTACTGGCAAGGTATGTCAAAAGATATTAAACAAAAGGTTAAGACCTGCCCCACCTGCCAATTAACAAAACGTCCATTGGGACCCACTTACGGGGAATTAAGTCAACCTCCGGAAGCCAAAGAACCCTTTGACCTATTATCCCTAGACACCATAGCAGGATTTGCCAAATATGGCAACACCAAAATATACCTCCATGTGGTAGTCGATCATTTTTCGCGCTACGCGTGGACTTTTCCATCTAAATCCACCAGCATCACCACCTACCAACAGGTACTTAAGCGAGTATTACAGGATGGCTCTCCCAAACGCCTTCTTACGGATAGAGCCCCTGCCTTCACTTCGCCAAAATTTAGTGGTTTCCTACTTAATAGAAACATCCACACACTACTTATAACCAGCAACAATCCACAAGCCAACGGTCTATGTGAACGCCTGAACGCCACCCTCACGGGAAAACTTAGGCTGTTACATTTAGAAAATCCTAAGATCGCATGGACCAAGTTGGTCAAAAGAGTTACAGTCACATATAACAAAACCCCACACTCTACCACAGGTTTTCCACCCATTTACCTAATGTTTGGCATCCTACCCCCAGAACTCTCTAACCACAACACACCTTACCCAGATATCGACAGAGCTAGAAAGATTGCACACACACGAACACAAAACAAGCATCTTCAAGACAAAACCATTTATGATCAACGACAAACAATCACATTTCGAAGTAGGTGATCTAGTGTTAGTTAAATTATATCACCACCCCAATACAGGGAAACTCGCGCCATATTTCACAGGACCCCACACAGTATTAGAAATTATTTCACCAAATGTGGTCCGTATAGATCGACCAAATCAACCTCTTCAAAGAGACACTGACACGATCCACGTCAATAAGCTTAAGCTGTATACAGAAACAGTCCGTTATATATCACCACCCGCCGTTAGAATATGTCATATAAAGCACAAGCCCGATTACACGTTCCCGTTTAAGCATTTCACACCCGAATTATTCCCAGCAGAGCCATTAAGATTCAAACCCACAAACAGCGAGCCTTTCAGGCATTTAGACCCTGCCATTTTTTCAACAAGGCGATTTACGCCATTCTTCCCCGATGTTAAGAACTGCGAACCTGACAATCATTTCAATCCTATCATTCTGTCCCAAAAAATATACACGCCACTCCCCAACGATAACAAGCAGTGCGAAATTGAACGATCAACAATGAATAAGGTTCGAGCAAATATTTCAGAATCACCATTTACAACAACATGGAAGAACATGTATCAATACCCTATCTTTCATCTGATTTTTATCCTTTGTCTGCTAGTCCTACCCTATAAATGTACCCCAGTTTTATTCCTTAGTTATTTGTTAACCTATACCATGCCTTCTAATAGAGTTTTCGAACTGCAAGAGGCAGTTTTTCATTTAGGACAAGCATTAACAGTACTGAACGAGAAAAAATTGAAAACTTACTAGACATAGTGGATACACCAGAAATGATTGATCAAACGGTAAAAGAACTTACGAACATACTGATTGAGGCAGCACATAATTCACTCAAAGTAAATAATAATATGACAACAAAAAATAATATTAGTAATAAGTGGTGGAATACGAATTTACAGCTTCTAAAGGATCACTGTCATTATCTTAGGAACTGTTACTATAGAAACAAAAATTGCCCTAATCATATTAAACAATTATATAAAAGCATACGAAATAAGTATTTACGGGAAATAGAAAAAGCTAGGAAAGCATCCTGGAGAATTTTTCTGGAGGAAAACAAATCGAACAACCCTTATGGAAACTTATATAAGGTGTATAAAAACATCAAAAGTGGATCTAATCGGAAGAGAAATATGCAAATTTTGGAGGGTAATACTGATATGGAATGTTTGCAGAAGGGTGAGGAATTATTGAATAACTTATTTCCAGATGATAAATGTGAAGAAGATACAAACATCCATAAAAGTATAAGAAATTATAATTTAAAACTACTCAATAAAGAAAAACCGATGGTTATGATTACTGAAGTTAACGACTTAATTGACAAATTAAATCCAAAGAAATCTCCCGGAATAGACAACATCTCTAACAACATGATAAGGCACACTAAACAATTTATAGCTCCTATATTGGTGAAACTATTTCAAAAATGTTTGGACCTACAATACTATCCTGCTGAATGGAAAAGAGCAGAGGCAATAATTATTCCGAAACCTGGAAAAACAGATTTTATTAACTATAAAAATTATAGACCTTTATGTCTTAATTCCAACATTTCTAAAATATTTGAAAAAATAATTAATAATAGAATAATAAAATATTATGAAGATTTTAATTTACTAAGTGATCGACAACATGGCTTTAGAAGATCGAAATCTACTATTACTGCACTAACTGAAATAATAAAAATTGCGTTAGAACATAAAACAAGAGAATATGCAGCAATAATTGCAGTGGATATTAGTGCAGCGTTTGATAATGCATGGTGGCCGGCCTTGATGAAAAGACTAGATGAAGATGGTGTGCAGGCTTCAACGATAAAACTTCTACAATCATACTTTGATAATAGAAGAATAAGATTTAGATTTTCCTCAACTGAAATTAATAAGAAACTAAGTAAAGGATGTCCACAGGGAGGACCACTGTCTCCCACATTATGGAATATTCTTATTAATGAGATACTGAATAATAGTCTGGATGATAATTGTGAAACAATAGGATATGCAGATGATATTACGTTAATATGTTGGAATAAAACTCCTGAACAACTAAGAAAGACAATAGATAATGTATTAAGAAAAATCAATAAGTGGTGTGAAAGTCGTAAATTAAAATTGTCAGATGAAAAACAAAAATATTATATTTATATAAATGCAATAGCGATATAATAGTCTCAGGTAGCAAGTTAATTAAACCGGTTGAAGAACTTAAGATCCTAGGAGTGACTATTAAAAATCACCGAGTCAGAAGCAAACTGGACTTTACGCCTCACGTTAATGAAATGATCATAAAAGTAACTAGAGCTAGTGGATACCTATTTGGCCTGACAAAGAAAGCATGGGGTCTAGACTTTAGACGAAGACTGATATTGTATAAGACATTATATCGAAGTACAATTACTTATGGTTATTCAGTATGGTATCCATTCATAAACAAAAAGTCTAAGGACAAACTAAATTCTCTTCAATATAAAATATTAAAACATTGTATACAGGCCTACAGTACAACATCATCGGACTGTACACACATACTTGCACAAGTCCCCAAACTTACTGATTATATTGAATCTAACATGTTGAAAACCGAAATAAATTACAACCGATTTGACTCTTCAAGTAGGAATATAATTTCTAATTATATAAGGGAAAAAATGCAGAAATACTATGAGAAGACTAATACCATTTTCAAGTCCTTCTTCACTGACTCCCAAATACCCAAATATGTCAAGCCAAATTTTTACAGTGTCCAATTTTTTACTGGACACGGTAACTTTAGATCATATTTGTACAAAGTCAGAAAGACGGATTCGCCTAAATGCTCATGTGGTGCAGAAGAAGAAAATCCTGTACATATTCTAACGGACTGTCGACTTGTAGAGGACTTGAGAGTCAAAAATCAAATAAATATAAATTGTCTAAATCAAATAGTTAATAATAGATATATGTATATAAATTTTAATAGATTTTGTAGAATGTTTTTTAGTAATAGATAGCCTGGGCTGTAATAACTGATATATAGTTATATGCTGTAAATAGCTCTAAATTTCTGTTCTTATCTGTGATGTTCACTAATATTCATTATAGGGTAATTAAATCGTTAACTAACTGACAAATATGTTAATAATTTCTATTATAATAACTAAAATCATATTAATAATTACTGTAAATAAGCTCCCAAACTTGTGTATGCATGCAAATATCCAAGACGGATATCGCGTGCTTTGTAAATGATAATAAAAAAAAAAAAAAATTGTAAAACATATTATAATATTAGGAAGCATTTTTGCAGAAAATCTAAATAAATGCCGAGGAGATAGAAGTAACTGAAAAGTAACAAATCAGTACCGAGAGAAAGAAAAAAAATCCCACTCCAGTAAAATAAGTAGAGAAACATAAAAGATTCAATTAGCACAAAGACAATTAGGAGGCAGATATCTTCCCGCGAGGCAATAAAATTCGAACAACAAGCTAGTGCAAATAGAGGGTGGGAGTCCCGTTTCCGGATCTCAAATTACCGCGCCCCTCTTTTGGCCGGCACATAAAATATAGGTCACCGCGTTTCCCCATCCACAGATTTTCTCCCCCCATGTCACCAATCTTGGATTCCAGTTCGAGTCTGCATATCGACTTTTACAAAAGCAATTCAATTTCAATCTCACAAGACGTTACCGACACATCTTAATGAATTCACACCTCTATTATAACGCCTCTATTATAATTAAATCCAAATTATTCTTACAGACTTCCAAAAAAAAAAAAACGTTACATATTCCACCTACACGTAGATCTCAAAGTCAAATATGAACAAAGTTCACGCACACTACCGCTTTAATTGTTAGTTAGTTTTCGAACTTACGTATTCTCCCAAAAGGGATTAAACGACCTTTTAGAAGGATCGAGATTCTCCTCGAATCCTGTATTCAAGGTATTAATATAGGTACCGATACCCAATATATAAAGTGGATATTGGGCGAGCACATCTTAAGTGCCCTAGGGGATCGCATAAAAACCCCTAGAACGCATTAAGGCTCGAGACAAATTAAAATACGACACTCGGCTTTTGAGATCTCAAAAAACAATGACACAAGACAAAAATACATGTAAAGGTTATATAGATTTCCATGTCTCCTGTATACATAGCATAAATTCGCACTTGAGGATTAGGATCACGTTTCCGCCTAAGTGTCGCTACAGAAGAGACAAAAAATTTATAGGGCATAATTAATCAATTAAGACATCTAGATCAGGGCATGTAGATACAAAACGGGTTCAAACCACTATATATATATTTTTTGTTTATATATTAACCATTTTCACTATTTTCTAAAAATTAAAATTAAAATATTTAACCAATTTATCAACTTATTCAATTTATTATCACTTATTTTAGCCATTAATTACCATTTTAGTTACCACTTAGTTTATTTTATCGTGGTTTCATTTATCAACGAAAACTCATTGGTTTTCGGTTAAACTTAAGACATTAAGTCATCCTTTATTTTGAAAAACCTTTTTCATTTTTCTTTTTTTTACGCAACCAAGCATTCAACTTTGATTTCGCTCAACATTTCTTTTATTTTTATTTTTTGATACCTCATGAAATTTCCTCGTTTTCCTTCCCAAACTCGAGCAAAAAGTAATTAGGCATTTTTTCCTTTTCACCAATGCAACAAAGCATTTTTTTTTTTCACGCAACAAGGCATTTTTCTTTTTCAACCACGCCTTCACTTTGATTTCAGTCAACTATTTTATATTATTTTTATTTTTGATTTCTAAAATTACCTCATGAAATTTCCTCGATTTCCTTCCCAATCTCGAGCAAAAAATGTACTTAGGCAATTTTTCCTTTTTTTTTCTATGTACCATAGTACTCAACATATGATGCACCTTTATAAAATTTTGATTTCTATTAACTAACAACCAACTATATAGCATTAACACTACATTTTTTTTTCTTATATCCTTATCAATGTTGTATATAACCTCCCTATAACCAATTAATTTTCGCTCAAAATTATTTTCTTTGCTTTACAGAACTTATTCAGACTAAAACCCCTTCATAAATTCTTCACATGTAGGGGCGCATCTGTCATAATTTGTACAATTAGATGCCAACCTAATCCAATATATGTATGAAAATGTATGATTTGTTTCAATAAAACAAGGTAACATTGGAGGAAGAAAGGCCTAGAAAAGAGGCTTAGAAGTTAGCACGATCATTAGCAAAATTATACCCAGTTTTATTATCGCGGAACTAATAAAAGTTGGGTTCAACAAACTATTATTTCCTGGTCAAGCTGGGACATGTCTTGAGACAAAAGAAGTAACGTAGACCAATTAGGAAGCAACTCCTCAGAGGTCAACCAATAGAGAACCGCCACGTCACACCTTTCCACCAATGGGAAGTAAGAAGGGTTCTCGTGTTAAATCGAGAACCAAGAATTGTCAGTTGTCGCTTCGCTCCCACCGAGATAGCACCTAGTAGTTAGCTAGCTCCCACCGAGGTAACACCTGCTCTAGAGACCTCCCCTGTTCATCTTTTTCAGCTAAGTCAATCACCGCCATGTGAATATATAGGCCAATAATCAAAAACCGCTCCGCCTTCTCAGCCTTTCTTTCCTCCGACCAGTTGCCTTTTATTTTTCAAACCCCATCACGTGTTCTGGTTATTCCCCACTGTATGCTTCACTTTCCACTCAAACGACTGCGCTTCCAACAATCTACACCATTCTCATCCAACAACAAGTAATTCCGCAACGATATTGCGACATATATATATATATATATATATATATATGTCATAATTTGTAAATAGCTGTATGCAACCCCGACCCAATATGTATGCAATGTATGTTTCAAAGACTTAATAAAGAATAAGGTAACTGGAGGATAGAACGACTTAGAGAAACAAGGCCTAGAAAAGAGGCTTAGAAGTCAGCACAATCATTAGCAAAATTACAGCCAATTTTTATATCGCGAAACTAATAAAAGTTGAGTTCAACGACACAGTATTTCCTGGTCGTGTCAGGACAAGTCCAAAGACAAAGAAATTAGCAAGGACCAATTAGGAAGCACCTTCCCAAAGGTCAACCAATAGAAAACGGCCACGTCCCACCTTTCGACCAATGGGAAAGAAGAAAGGTCTTCGTGTTAAATCGAGAACCGAGGATTGTCAGCAGTTGTTTCGCTCCCACCGAGTTCGGACCTAGTTCACTTCGCTCCCACCGAGATAGCACTTAAAGTCAATCACCGCCATGTGAATCGATAGGCCAATAGTCAAAAACCGCTCCGCCTTCTCTCAAGCCTTTCTTTCCTCCAACCAGTTGCCTTTTATTTTCAAAACCCCAGCACGTGTCCTGGTTATTCCCCACTGTATGCTCAACTTTCTACTCAAACGACTGCGCTTCCAACAATCTTCACCATTCTCATCCAACAACAAGAAATTCCGCAACGATATTGTGACAGAAGGGTTAAGTCGACAGGATATTATGGAGATTGGCCAGGATTCAATAGGCGTAAAGACGGACAACCTAACGAAAGAAAGGGGAGAAAACGGCAGCCAATCGAGGGAGAACGAACCAACGGGAGAAAGGCAGGAAGTAAGGGAGGGGAACGAACAGGAAACAAGCCCCCTAGTGGACGTCATCCAACAGTTCGCGGCCGCACTAGCTCAGGGTAGGTCATGCGATCCTACAGGACCGACAATCTCGCCTTTCGATGGAACATACAGCGCGATCCAGTTTTTCCAAGCGTTCGACCGACAAATGGAAGACGCCTCCATGGGAGAACAAGAAAAATTACTCCGTCTACCAAACTACCTGGCGCGACAACCCCTGGAGCTCTTCAGGAAACTTCGGCTGGCCGACCGGAGCTATTTCCAGGTGAGACAAATCCTCCTAGATCTCTATCCTGAGTCAAGCGAAGCGTCCTTTGCGAAATATTTCGCCATGAAGCTTACTGGGCAAGCCAACCTAGAGACCTACTACCGGGAGAAAACCGCCATGGGACTACAACTAGGACTACCGCAGGAGGTGATCCTCGAGACGTTGACAGAAGGGTTGCCATTCTCCGACCAACGCCTAGTCCGCGTAGTGCCTCCCGAGAACCTAGGAGAGTGGTTCCGACTGGTACTGCGAATCCACGGGCCCAGTGTACCGACAACGCGACCTCGAGAGGACCAACCGCCCACAATGTCAGGTCCGTACCACAACCCACCCCGACGCCCAGGTGCATGGCACGCACCTCTTCCACCGTCCAACTGTAAGTTCTGCGGCGAGAGACACTGGCACAGCGAATGCCGGCATCGACCAGTCCCGGCGACCCACGAAAAAGAACGGACAGTGCAATAAGTCCCACCAAACAGATACCAAGGCGTTCGGACAGTGCAAACAGTCCCAGAACAACCAGTCCCGAGTCCCCAGCAACCAAGTCAAGCCAGAGACACCCCAGCCGAGCAGACTTTTCGAGACTGAGGTAGGATCCCTAACCCAACTGACTGTCAAACTTTTCCTAGCCCCTAATATACCATGCCCCTTTTTCATTGATACAGGCGCCAGCCTGAATATAGTGCCCTATAATCTCTACCATATGTTAAAAACCCACCTGCCTAATTTAACCCTTAAGGGACATTCACTGGATCTCCAAACCCTAAACGGTTTTGCAAAAACCATGGGTAAACTGTCTATTCCGCTGACAATAGGACAAATAACCCGAAGAGAGAATTTCCATGTAGTGAATGCACCGTTACCATTTGGAATTCTTAGCATTAATAGCCTCCACAAATTCAGATTAGCAATAGACTTTAATAAATGCACTATATTCCAGCTGGGCGCCCCATTGTCTACCCCATCCTACCATTTTAACCATGTACCGAATGTATGCACGTACTGGCAGTGTCAGGCGATGTCACAAAGAATTTACCCTGCATCCTAACCTTCCGCCTATGACAATCACTGCGTGCATTCATTGAAAAAAAAAACCCTTATTTACATGCCATTTTTTCACTAAGGCCAATTGCCTTTTTTACATGCCCTCAAATAACAAAGCCACAACGGCTTCAACTTGTAAACACCATGCCCAAAACGTACCCACAGAGCGGGACAACTCGCATACCAAGCACATAGATGATCACACGTCGTCACACAACTATCACATGACCAACCCACACAACGAACTCGACACTCACACTAAGACCCAACAAAATCCTTTACCACATACATGCTACAACACGACACACAACCCTCTCTATGCACCCCAGTTCACAACACTTCTACAAAGATACACTCACATCTTCACACAGAACAAATTCAACGTACCATGCTTAAGGATTCCACCCGTAAAAATACCCACGAATTCCGATAAAATAATTACCATACGGCCATATCGTGTTCCTATATGTGACCAACAAGAAATCCGTAATCAAGTCCAACAAATGCTAGAGAATGGCATTATAGAGCAATCTTTTTCTCCTTTCTCGAGCCCTGTCACCCTCGTCACTAAGCGCGACAAGACCAAACGGTTTTGTATCGATTATAGAAAGGTGAACGAGCTTATCAGCTCTGATGTCCATCCCCTCCCGAGAATCGAGGATATTCTCGACCGCCTCGCACAGGCCAAATATTTCTCCACGGCCAACATATCCTCTGCGTATTGGCAAGTCCCAATACACCCCGATTCTCGACCACTGTTAGCATTTGCCACCCTCGAAGGGTTATACCAACCCACTCGATTACCTTTCGGATTAAAAACCAGCCCTCAGGTCTACGAACGAGCCATAAGTCAGGTCCTACAGAGACACGGACTTGACTGTGTGGCACATTACTTTGATGATTTCATCATTTACTCCAACACATTGGAGGAACATCAAAACCACCTGCGACAATTCTTCGCCTTTTGCGAAGCGGAGAAGCTACAACTTAATTTCGCGAAATGCGAATTTTTTAAGCAGTCCATAGATTTTCTAGGCTACACCATAACAGCTGGTACCACTACACCGCTCACACGCAACACCGACATTATTCACGCCATTAAACAGCCACACAACCAAAAAACACTACAATCCTTTTTAGGCGCTGTGAACGTCTATAACAAATTCATCCCGGACTACGCTCGCTTGCGAGCACCGCTCAACAACCTTCTCAAAAAGGATGTCGTGTGGATCTGGGATGAATCTTGTCAAAAGGCGTTCATTGACCTGAAAGGGAACCTCACACAACACCCCATTTTACACCTTTACAAAGAAGGTCTGCCATGCCAAGTGTATTGCGATGCATCCACCCTCGGTATAGCAGGCATTCTCAAACAGGTTCACCCTGACGGGAACGTATATCCAGTTCAGTATTTCAGCCGAACATTGCGCCCACACGAGAAAAACTACTCCATCTCTGAACTTGAGTGCTTAGCAATCGTTGAGAGTGTGGAGAAGTTTCGCATCTATCTTATGGGCAGAAAATTTACTATATTTTCTGACCATCACGCATTGCAGTGGCTGAAGACCATCAAAAACCCGTCCGGCAGATTGTTTCGATGGAGTTTACGACTATCGAGTTACGAATATGAGGTCCGCTACATAAAGGGAAAACAACAGTATGAGGCAGATCTCTTGTCCCGTAACCCGTTTTGTGGATTCTTGGACGCCACCCTTATCAAGACACACCAACCTCCTCCATCGAGAGAGTCTAGTTTGACCATTGATCGTAATGGATTACATACAGTTTCCCGAAAAGGTGTAACCAGGATTATAATTCCAAAACCACTCATACAACAACTCTTACAAACAGTACACACACAATACAACCACCCCGGTATTTCACAAATGTCACGACTCATCTCCACGCAATATTACTGGCAAGGTATGTCAAAAGATATTAAACAAAAGGTTAAGACCTGCCCCACCTGCCAATTAACAAAACGTCCATTGGGACCCACTTACGGGGAGTTAAGTCAGCCTCCGGAAGCCAAAGAACCCTTTGACCTATTATCCCTAGACACCATAGCAGGATTTGCCAAATATGGCAACACCAAAATATACCTCCATGTGGTAGTCGATCATTTTTCGCGCTACGCGTGGACTTTTCCATCTAAATCCACCAGCATCACCACCTACCAACAGGTACTTAAGCGAGTATTACAGGATGGCTCTCCCAAACGCCTTCTTACGGATAGAGCCCCTGCCTTCACTTCGCCAAAATTTCGTAGTTTCCTACTTAATAGAAATATTCACCCGTTACTCACAACCAGCAACAATCCACAAGCCAACGGTCTATGTGAACGCCTGAACGCCACCCTCACGGGAAAACTTAGGCTATTACATCTAGAAAATCCTAAGATCGCATGGACCAAGTTGGTCAAAAGAGTTACAATTATATATAACAAAACCCACACTCTACCACAGGTTTTCCACCCGTCTACTTAATGTTTGGCACCCTACCCTCAGAAATCTCTAACCACAGCACACCTTACCCAGATATCGACAAAGCTAGAAAAATTGCACACACACGAACACAAAACAAGCATCTTCAGGACAAAAACATTTATGATCAACGACACAAACAACCACATTTCGAAGTAGGTGATCTAGTGTTAGTTAAATTATATCACCACCCAAATACAGGGAAACTCGCGCCATATTTCACAGGACCCCACACAGTATTAGAAATCATTTCACCCAATGTGGTCCGTATAGATCGACCAAATCAACCTCTTCAAAGAGACACTGACACGATCCACGTCAACAAGCTTAAGCTGTATACAGAAACAGTCCGTTATATATCACCACCCGCCGTTAGCATATGTCATATAAAGCACAAACCCGATTACACGTTCCCTTTTAAGCATTTAACACCCGAATTATTCCCAGCAGAGCCATTAAGGTTCAAACCCACCAACAGCGAGCCTTTCAGGCATTTAGACCCTGCCATTTTTGCAACAAGGCGATTTGCACCATTCTTCCCCGACATTAAGAACTGCGAACCTGACAATCATTTCAATCCTATCACGCCACTCCCCAAAGATAACAAGCAATGCGAAATTGAACGATCAACAATGAATAAGGTTCGAACAAATATTTCAGAGTCCCCATTTACAGCAATATGGAAGAACATGTATCGATACCCTATCTTTCATCTGATTTTCATCCTTTGTTTGCTAGTCCTACCCTACAAATATATCCCAGTTTTGTTCCTTAGTTATTTGTTAACCTATACCATGCCTTCTAATAGAGTTTTCGAGCTGCAAGAGGCAGTTTTTCATTTAGGACAAGCATTTGTAAAACTTATTGTAATAATAGGAAGCATCTTTGCAGAAAATCTAAATAAATTCCGAGGAGATAGAAGTAACTGAAAGGTAACAAACCAGTGCCGAAAGAAAGAAATCCCACTCCAGTAACAAAATTCGAGTCGCACACAAAAGCAATTAGCCGACAGGAAACAAGTGCCCCGCGCGGCGATAAAATTAGCGTATGCAAACAGGGGGTGAGAGTCCCCATGTCCGGTTTCTAATTACCATCTCCCTCGACCAGCAGTTAAATGGAGGTCAAGCTGGGGACTTTTACATGTCGTCCGTTTGGAAACCTCTCTTGGCCGGTACATAAAAATAGGCCACCGCGTTACCACATCCACAGATTTTCTCCCCATGTCACCAATCTTGGATTCCAGTTCGAACCTGCGTATCGATTTTTACAAATACAATTCCACACACACAAGACGTCACACACATCTAAATGAGCTCACATCCCTATTATAATTAATCATAATTACTTTACAGACTCCAACAAAAGAAAAAAAAAAGTTACATATTCCACCTACACGTAGATCTCAAAGTCAAATATGAACAAAATTCACGCATACTACCGCTTTGCTAGTTAGGTTTCAAACTTACGTATTCTCCCAAAAGGGATTAAACGACTTTTTAGAAGGATCGAGATTCTCCTCGAATCCTGTATTCAAGGTATTAATATAGGTACCGATACCCAATATATAAAGTGGATATTGGGCGAGCACATCTTAAGTGCCATAGGGTATCGCATAAAAACCCCTAGAACGCATTAAGGCTTAAGACAAATTAAAAAACAACACTCGGCTTTTGAGATCTCAAAAAAACAATAACACCAGACAAAAATACACATAAAGGTTATATAGATTTCCATGTCTCCTGTACACATAGCATAAATTCGCACTTGAGGATTAGGATCACGTTTCCGCCTAAGTGTCGCTACAGAAGAGACAAAAAATTTACAGGGCATAATTAAGCAATTAAGACATCTAGATCAGGGCATGTAGATACACAATGGGTTCAAACCAATACACCTTATTGTTTATATATTAACCATTTTCACTATTTTTTTAAATTAAAATTAAAATATTTAACCAACTTAGCAAATTATTCAATTAATATCAATTAATATCACTTATTTTAACCATTAATTACCATGTTAGTTACCACTTAGTTTATATTATCGTAACTTCATTTATCAACGAAAACTCATTGGTTTTCGGTTAAACTTAAGACATTAAGTCATCCTTTATTTTTGAAAAACCTTTTTCTTTTTTTTTTCTCAACCAAGCATTCAACTTTGATTTCGCTCAACATTTCTTTTATTTTTATTTTTGATACCTCATGAAATTTCCTAGTTTTCTTTCCCGAACTCGAGCAAAAAGTAGTTAGGCATTTTTCTTTTACCAATGCAACAAAACATTTTTTTTTCTCTTTTTCAACCAAACATTCAACTTTGATTTCATTCAACTATTTTTTTATTTTATTTTGATTTCAAAACACCTTATGCAATTTCCTCGATTTCCTTCCCAAAATTCGAGCAAAAGGTAATTAGGTATTTTTTCCTTTTCACCAAGGCAACAAAACATTCTTTTTTTTTCTTTTTTTTTTACGCAACAAAGCATTTTTTTTTTCTCTTTTTCAACCAAACATTCAACTTTGATTTCATTCAACTATTATTTTTTTTATTTTTTTTTTATTTCAAATTACCTTATGAAATTTCCTCGTTTTCCTTTCCCAAACTCGAGCAAAAAGTAATTAGGCAATTTTTCCTTTTTTTTTGTACCATAGTACTCAACATATTATGATGCACCTTTATAAAATTTTGATTTCTTTTAACTAACAACCAACTATATTTCATTAACACTACATTTTTTTAATCTCTTATATCCTTATCAAGATTGTATATAACCTCCCTATAATCAATTAATTTTCGCCCAAAATTATTTTTTTGATGTAAAGAACTTATTCAGACTAAAACCCCTTCATAAATTCTTCACATGTAGGGGGCGCATCTGTCATAATTTGTAAATAGCTGTATGCAACCCCGACCCAATATGTATGCAATGTATGTTTCAAATACTTAATAAAGAATAAGGTAACTGGAGGATAGAACGACTTAGAGAAACAAGGCCTAGAAAAGAGGCTTAGAAGTCAGCACAATCATTAGCAAAATTACAGCCAATTTTATTATCGCGAAACTAATAAAAGTTGAGTTCAACGACACAGTATTTCCTGGTCGTGTCAGGACAAGTCCAAAGACAAAGAAATTAGCAAGGACCAATTAGGAAGCACCTTCCCAAAGGTCAACCAATAGAAAACGGCCACGTCCCACCTTTCGACCAATGGGAAAGAAGAAAGGTATTCGTGTTAAATCGAGAACCGAGGATTGTCAGTAGTTGTTTCGCTCCCACCGAGTTCGGACCTAGTTCACTTCGCTCCCACCGAGATAGCACCTAAAGTCAATCACCGCCATGTGAATCGATAGGCCAATAGTCAAAAACCGCTCCGCCTTCTCTCAAGCTTTTCTTTCCTCCAACCAGTTGCCTTTTATTTTCAAAACCCCAGCACGTGTCCTGGTTATTCCCCACTGTATGCTCAACTTTCCACTCAAACGACTGCGCTTCCAACAATCTTCACCATTCTCATCCAACAACAAGAAATTCCGCAACGATATTGTTCTGAAAATAGAGAGCAATTCATATTTACATTTTTAGATAATAAATATAGGCATATATTTTGGATTGAATAAAAAGACTTATTTTGGTGGGCTGAACGCCAACCATTGTCAAGGCATTTTGTTTAAACCAACTCAGCCCCGCATAGTGTCATTATATTACAGTTAAAATTATATTTTTTCCCAAAAGAGAGAGAGAGAGAAGAGAGAGAGAAGAGAGAGAGAGAGAGAGAGAGAGAGATTGAGATTGAAACTGATTTATTATAACGTCCATATAAGAATATATAAGATTAAATACAGATTAAATAAAAATATGAATAAATAAGATTATATAATGAAAAATACAAGAATAAATAGATATAAATATATAAAGCAATTGATAAATATACATATATATAAAATATATACAAGGTCTTCATTGGTGGCGCCCACCGCGAGAAAGACTCCGCCACCGAAATTTTTTTACCAGGATAAGATAAATTTTTATAAGGCATGTGTGAATATTAAGAGAGAAAATAAAGACTATCCTAAATGTTAAAACATTTTTATACTAAGTATATAATTAATTAAATTAGATGTATATAAAATATATACTTATAGTCATTTAATTTTTAAAAATAGAGCAATCCATAAATAAATCTTTAATTAAAAAGGCATATATTGGATCAAAATATTTATTTCACCAATATTTCAGTTGGCTGAGGCGCCAACCTTTATCAAGGTATTATAACATATTAATATTTTATATGCTTAATATGTTATAATACCTTGATAAAGGTTGGCGTACAGCCAACTGAAATATTGGTTAAAAAAATGATATTTTGATTCGAATATTAAATAGTCATTTATAATTTAAAAGTCTATTGAAATAAAATTCCTCTTAAAACGTGGAGAAAATATATGTAAGTTATCTATATATATGAAATATCAATATTTTTAATGTGTTGTTAATGACAATCCAAAAGATATTTTTAGGTCAAATTCCTTTGTAAAAACTCTTCACTTTAGTAAAATAAATACATTTTTGAAAGGTAAAAGCAAAACGCAGCCCGATATTAAATTTAAGAAATGTCATTTAAAGAAGTGGCAGAACTAGAGTGCTAAAAGGTTTTTAATAAGTCCCTAGACCCTTTGTAATCAGCTCGGACGTTTTTATTGGCTCGTCATTCCAATCTCATTAAGGAGAACAACTTCACATAGAAATGGGGAATATGGTTTTCAAATCTTTAAAATGTATTGATATCAAAACTTGAATAAATTGTACCTTTTAGCATGTATATCGGGATTCAGACAATAACTATGAAAGATATTTGATACACAGTGATCTTTATTGAAGACACACGAGATAACCTAGTTTAAATAAAATTTCTTGTCTTCTTCTTCTTCAAAAAAAAAAAAAAAAAACAGGTAACCGGAGACATTAAAGACTTTCCACTTCCTTAATTTTGTCTATGAGTGTATGTGTTTAAAATATATTATTAGTTGGTAGAACATGCGTATTAATATTTCTTTAATTTTTTTTATTATCTCTCAAGTACATATCAAAATGGTAATGATAAACATGATGGGTTGTAGTTAAAGACTGTCTTCACTTGTAGATATCTGTTCCACTTTTGCATTTACAAATGTGCCATTCGATAACTTACAATTTCTATTGGGGTTGAACTTTTGCAAGAATCGATGGTCATTGAAGTAAAATATTTTTTTAAGTAAAAAGGTTCCCCTTGCGGGATTCGATCTCGGGTTATGACTATCGAAAATAGATGGTGTATACTATTGCGTTGTTGGTTAACAAAGAATAACTTCCGTGGGTACAAAGGATCTTTAGGACTTTATTTGAGCCTAATCGATAAAATAATTACAGAAGAACGAAAAAATAAAACAACAATAAAGAAAACAGCAGTTACAAACTCACCAACTGCAGCACGGTGAGGGAAAGCAGGAGCAGAACAGAAGACAGAAGTTCGTAGAACCTTCTAGAATCTTCCAGGAAGTACACCGGCGTCGGCGGTAAGCAGCAGTCCGACCTCTTGAGACAGAAGCTTGCTTGGAGTTCACCACGTAGCTTCGTTCTTCGACTTCTCATATCTTTCTTCTCTCCCTGGCATGAGTTTCTCCTCCCTATATATCCCGGAGTAGATCTTTCCAGAACTGTCACGCTTGGTCAGCCAATCAGAAAGCCGCCAGCACAAAGCGGTTGCGCAATCGCTTTAGATTGGCCAATCGGTTGTTCTCCGATTTTTCTACATTTTTCTTGAACGTTCTAAAACATTTTCTCTCCATTCTGGAATGTGCTTTTCTTTCTACGTAACAATACTATTTTTCAACCAACCCCTGGAGCATTCCATAAATAAACTATTAATGTTGTTGAAATACAATCGAATTTTTTCTTATACCTCTAATATATATGAAACTATATAAAAAAGATTGAGAAGATTAATATTATTATGATTCATAAATACAACCTTGAAATGAAATCACTTTTAAAAACGTATAAATTGAATAACAAAATTAAACAATATAGTGTCGTCAAGAAAAAAAAAAAAGTAAGAAGTTATTGAGAGAATCGAACTAATGGTTTTATATATTATATAGAATTCTTCGTTGCTCAATACAACCAACTGAACTAATTTAACATGATCGATTTATTAATATCACGTAATAGTAAAGAATCAATCAGCGAGATAATAAAACGAACATTGTTAAGGCCGTTTATAAAGGTAGGTGAAATCGGTTTGTAAAAAAATAGTTTTCAGGTTGATTATTGATTATACAATTAATAATTGTTGTGATAGTGAATATTGAGGAGATTGGAGAATACATACGAAGTACCTTCAAAGGAAGTTATTAAGAAACTAATTGTTCTTTAAAAAGGAACCAAAAAACTAAGATTGTCTCCTAAATAGGCGACGAAGAGTTATAATGAAATATGTTGAATAGGTTAATTATAACAAGAGAGAAGTTTAATTGATCAAAAAAATATTGATTTGTGTCGAAAAAAAGGGAAACATTCGTGCCTATATATTTTCATTTATTATATACAGATGTTGCGTTATTATTCTATATTAATAGAGAAGATGTAAAAGAGCTAACAATTAAGCTTCTGATAATTGGTGTCAACAAAACAAGTTAAAAAAGGAGAAATGAAATCAAAGAATAACACAGAGCGTAATTATCTTATAGAAATATATAATGTATTTACCATTCACCACTCAACACGCGTTATACCTTTAATAGGAAAACAAGATTTTTGAGTAAACACCAGTTAAAACCTCTGATAAGAGCGTCAAATAGCATTAAAAACGTTGGCAAAATGTTTTCATCTTCGATTCAATATATTCACATAATATCGATTAGAAGATTGATTGAGAACAGCCTTGCAAAATCCACATTCAAGCGATTTCAATATTTTTTTCTGAGCATGAAAACGAGTTTTTCCTCTATTGGTAATACTATTAATGAAATGATAACAAATATTATTCACAAAAAATCCCATATTATTACTCCTTCATAATTAATAATTAATCAATCATCAACACTTTCAATTCTTTTTTCAATGCGAAAATTTCAGATTTTTTGTTATTATTTCTAATGTAAAGCCATTTTATACTCGATTTATAATCTCCTCATAATCCCTATGGCATTCTTTAGCTTCATATATTCATTTATCAATCAATACTTCTCCATGTATATTGTTCATATGAAAGCTATATCGTTTTAAAAATATAGGTGAATATGTAAGCAATGATCAGGTCATATTTTATATTTGGAATGATCGCATTCTAAAACGTAGATTCAGATAGCATATGTAATATTATAGCTATTTTCTTAAATGAATTCTTTTTTTCAATGTTCTCAGCGAAATCTCTTAGGATGGTCATTGAAAATGCCAAAAAACAGCTTTGTCTATTTCGTTAGTCCACCTGAAGATAAGTGTTTTAAAGAAAATGGCTCTCGTCAATACAGGACGGGTTATTTGCAAAATAATATCAAAGAATTTCGAGTGAAATTTTCCAAATTGGCCAAAAAGGTGTGTTCTAAGTAAGTTCTTGGTCAAATAAATATATGAATAATTAGTTATGGCTGAAAGAAAGTTAATTTTCGAAAGTAAAGTCACTTCACTTCAGAAACCTAGTGCATCTATCCCCAAAACCTCATCTTTATAATAACTTATTTACCTATTTGATGCTATAGCATTTTCGTTCTCCCAATTATTTTTTAATTTTCAATTTCAGATATTTCTCACATCTTATGAATTGAATTTGATATAAAAGTTGCCTCTTTTTGTATAATTCCTTCATTACAGAATATCTCTCTATATATTCTCTATTCCTCTAACCTTTTCTTAATTCAATTCAATTTCTATTCAAACATTCATAAATTAATTGTCTTCTTGTGTGAAAATACAATAAAAATAAATCATTATTTACTTTCCAATCATCGTTAAATTACATTGATAATTTTTCAGTGATCAAATTAATTGAAAATATTCTCCAATCTTTATATAATTTCAATATCTCTCAATTAACAAATCGCTATATACGATAATAACTAAATTAACAGCAAACATTATAATATATCTATATGATATAAAAATGGAAAACACATATATTCACTAATAGAAAACAAATACCTTTATTTGTTCCTCGTAAATAAATATGATATCTCAACCAAGAGCCTTAAGCTAAAAGCTTCTATTCATACACCTCTATACTGTTTTCTTTTGAAGCTTTTATTTAATAAGGGAAATATGTGATACGCAATTCTATTTATTAATATATATAAATAATTAATATATTTGGTGTAGTATTTTTTAATTGAGAGAGTTTCAGTCTGCTTATGTCAATTCCTTTGAAGGCACTGATATAATTCAGAAATCCTATCTCATATACACTTCGTTATATAATTTTAGTAAATTAAATTATTTTTATATAATATATATAATTTGTATTATATTTGTTTATATCAATTTAAAGCGCTATGTACCCCTAGGGACACTTGCGCTGTCATACATATATACCTTTACATTTGTCTATACATATATATACAAAAATTCAGGCTGTGGATCGAATAGTCATATTATATTAACAATGAGAAAGAGAAAAAAAAAACAAGAAAAAGAACTGTGTACAAAAGAAAGTAGTGTCTGTAAATATGTACAATCAGCATAATATAAATTATCAGTTTCTTAAAAGATATTTGTTGTTATATAATTTAAAATATAATATAATGCGGATTGTGATTGTAAAACGACATTTGAAAATTATCCCACATGAGTTTCATGTCAACGAAAAATCAAAATTTATTTCAAGGAGAAATAACGATTATTTCTAACCTTAGGGATGAGGTATGAAAGGATGAATTGTGAAGAGTAATGATAAACGCAAAAATAAAATAAAAGTGTCCAGTTCCCATCCCTGGACACTTTTATTTTTCCGTTTATCATTACTCTTCACAATTCATCC